AAATCACTGTCGAGAGGGTGACCTTGAACTGCTGTTCTTCCTTACTTTCCTCCCAAGTGCAGGAATTACAGACATGAGCCGTGATTCCTGATTTGTGTTGTGCTAGGAACAGAACCCAGGGCTTCCTGCATGCCAGACAAGCGTTCAATTTTATTTACTTATTGAGTAGACCTGCTTTGTTTCACACACACACACACACACACACACACACACACACACACACACACACACATACACCAAAATGAAAATACTGAAATAATAAAGTTAGGACCAGAAAAAAAAAACTAATAAAAATTCAAGAACAAGAACATAATAAACTCTTTTAAAAAAATATGTTGTCCATAAGAACTTTACAGAGTTACAGTAATCCAGTTTCAACATGGTGGATTCAAATGACAGTCACAAACAAAGAGGATACAAGTTCAATGACATAAATTTCAGGAGAAAAGCACATGCAGGTTTGACAGGCAATTCAAGCACTAGCGGGAATTTCTTCCACAAGTGGATTTCCGAGGGGCCACCCAATGAGACAGCAAATAAAATGTGGGCCAGTGTTCCGCTTACAAGGCAGAGCACGGCAGCAGACATTTCTTCTGGGTCACTTCTCAGGCTTTTACATGTGCCTCTCATATTAGCTTATGTCCTGTGATGTTATACAATCTCAAAGCCACTTCACATTCCTCACAAGGAAGGCAGAGAATGAACAATTTTTAAAGTAGTTTATTTATAATACGCAAATTGTCAAAAATCTTCATATATAAAGCTATTTGACCCTCTGCCAAGTGTGGTGGCACACACCTTTAATCCCAGCACTCAGGAGGCAGAGGTAGGTGGATCTCTGTGAGTTAGAAGCCAGCCTGGTCTACAGAGTGAGATCCAGGACAGGTAAGGCTATGTAGAGAGGCCCTGTATAAAAAAATTTTTTTAAAAATAAATAAATAAAAGAAAGAAAAAAAGAAGGAAAGAAGGGGAAGGAAAGGAAGGAAGAAAATGCACTGAAATACTATGTGTATGTGTATGTGGGGGGGGGGGGGTCACAAAGCCATAATACCCAGTTTGGGAGGTAGAGTCAGGAGACTGCTACAGGTTACAGGCCTGCCTGCTATCCATAAAGATCTTCAGAGCAGCCAGGGACATAGAGACCCTAAATCAATGAGTCAGTAACTAAATACATAAAGCATTTTATTGGCTATTTTGTCAACCTATAGTCTGTGTTTTTGTGTAGTTACTAATACTTCCCCCTGGCCCCCAGACAGTGTTTCTTTGGTAGCCTTGGCTGTCCTAGAACTCGCTCCATGGACCAAGCTGTTCTGGAACTCACAGAGATCCACCTGCCTCTGCCTCCCAAGGACCAGGATTAAAGGCATGTGCCACCACTGCCCAGCCTCTGATAGCCATTTTTAATTGTTACTTCACAGACTGGTGAGATGCTTCTGCAATATAAAATATTATCTATACTATTCATTTAGAATGTAGAAATAAGTCAGGTATGGGAGCTCACATTTGTAATTCCAGTACTAGGAAGGCTAAGGCAGGAGGACTGCCTTGAGTTTGAGGCCAGCCTGAGCTACACAATGAGACTGTCTCTTTAAAAAAGTAAAAAAAGGAGAAATAATTAGGCAATTATCAGTAGGCAGAGAATCAAAAGTTCCAAGATTATCTCTGGCTTCGTTATGAGTCAAGCTAGCCTGGGTTATAAGAGGCCTTATCTCAAAAAATAAAATAAATACATGTATGTATTTAAGCTACCATATTTTAAAGATATGTTTATATGTTACGAAATAAAAAAGTTTAATGACAGATCTCTGAGTTCAAGGTCAACCTGGTCTATAGAGCGAGCTCCAGGACAGCCAGGACTGTTAACACAGAGAAACCCTGTCTCAAAATAAAAGAAAAGAAAAGAAAGAAAGAAAGAAAAAAGTATCTAACAATTCTTACCTATTAGCACGCAAGCTCAATCCAAGAGAATGGGGAATACTTTTGATATTAGAGTCTAGAGAAGGTGAAGTTTTTTGTAAAGTTTCCACTAAATCAAAATCCTCCATATCGTACAAAAATTGTTAAGCTCTGTCATCTGGAAACACTCTTGCTTCTCCTGAAGGAGGAGACCGCTTCCGAGTCCTCTTCAGCTGCCTCATCGTCTACTGGCATCCTCAGCAGCTGACATTCAGAACTGTGAAGTCCGCTACACTTCCAAAGAGTCTGAAAATGAATGGGGAAAAACTACTGAAAAGGCCACTAAATTTACCCACTATCTTTTCATGGCTTTGGAAACCTCTCAAATTCATCTACATTAAGAACAGCAACCAGTCGTGGTGGCGCAGGCCTTTAATCCCAGCACTCGGGAGGCAGAGGCAGGTGGATACAGCTCTGTGAGTTCGAGGCCAGCCTGGTCTACAGAGCAAGATCCAGGACGGGCACCAAAACTACACAGAGAAACCCTGTCTCGAAAAACAACCAACCAACCAAACAAACAAACAAACAAACAAACAAACAAAAAGAACAGCAATATTGGGGCTCAATGGCCAAGAGTGCTTGCCAGGCAAACCCATCCACACATGCTCAAGCTCTAGAACCCGTGGGGGAAGGTGAGAACTGACTCCTCTGTCCTCCATGCAACACACAGGAGTGCACATGAACACACACACACACACACACACACACACACACACACACACAAATTAAATCAAAAGTGTAAAAAGAATAGCATTAGTATTCACAATGGCCAAAGTGTAGAAACACCCCAATGTCCCTCTGCAGATGAAGGGACAAAGCAGTATGGCACATCCACATGGTGGAATACTACTGGTCTACAAGGAGAAACAACGGCACTGAGTCATGCACAGAAAACACCAGGCACGCTTCTATCCCAGCACTCGGGAGTCAGAGGCAGTCCAATCGCTCCGGGTTCAAGGTCAGCCTGGCCTACAGAGTGAGTTCCAGGACAGCCAGGAAACTCCTGTGTGGGGGCGGGGACCACTGCTCTCTGACCTCACTTATGTCTGCAGCACAGAGAAGGGGAGAGGGGGAGCCACTGCAGTGTAGTCTATTTTCAACTTGAGGTGACGGAAAGTTCTGGAATTAGCTTCTTTTTTCTTTCTAAAACACCTAAATCACATACTTTCAACAGGATGGAGTTTACGTATAGGAACTATATGTCTTTTTAAGGCAATTTGTAAGAATCACATCATCTCCTACAGGCAGTATTTCAGAATTTTACGTTTAATAATCAAGGTTCTAGGTGCACTCTATTATGTAATAATGGAATACTTCCAGGCCTGGTTCACTTATTTAGGAAGTCCTACGTTGCAGAAGTGTTTCACTTACATAGGCACTAACAGGACTTAACTATTTAGTCTTTAAGTTGGTGTTTAAGAGCTACTTAGCTGTTAAAATGGCTGGATGTACAATTCTCAATACAGAGCCTTTTGTACTCTGCACAAGTTAACATTTACTAAATCTGGATATACAGTGATACGCTTGCTGTTATAAGCCCAACCATATGACTCATCCTTCCAGAATCCATTGATTTTAAAAAAGACAGGGGAATCGAAAAAGATAAGAGGGAACAAAACCAAAAAAAAACCCTGCTGCTTATAAAATGAGAAGTTCAGAGACTGCATCGGAAGAACTCTCTCACGTTCCTGTTCCACCCAACTCTCACTTTCCAGGGCTTAAAGAACACAATCAGTTCATTGACGCTCAAGAAGCATTTCCTCCAGGACAGGCACCGAGGCAAAGGGTGACCAGACCTAAATGGACTCCACTTCCCCTACCTTCCCACCTGAGAGTCTGGCCCATCACCAATGACAAATGGGGTATTGAAAAAGCCAGGGCTGCCTCTTCCAACTGGCAACGAAAACACCTGGATTCAAATGACCACAAGTTCTCCAGAGAGGTGGATCTACAGTTCCATCTCTTCTCATCACCCTGCCCTACCCCCACATCCACCTTCGCTGAGGTAATCCGGATGCCAAAAATTCAGATAGAAACACTACAGAAACTCAACGACACCTCTCCCGGCACGGAACGGGAGAGGAGAGTGGGAAATCGGCTGTGGATCCGAAATAAACTTGACAGCAATTGAATACAGGAATAGACATTTTAAATATAATTTCCAGCACCAAAAAAACGATGCTTCTATTCCTCAACCTACAACCCTTTGGTGTCGGAGGCAGGAGTGATGGAGTAGCATTAACAATTTGAACGTTCACCGGGCTTCCTCTTTACAGGAAGGCTGAAAGGAACGAGTACGAAGTGGTTTCAGGTGTTGAAGTCAGACCCTAGTCGCAGGTAGCGGCTATCGGTTCAAGAACGGAGGCGAGAGGATACAAGGAAGCAGGGATGATGGAGAGCCACTCACGATCACTGTGATTTCCAAAGGCAGCCCGGGTACCACTATCCGGGGGGTGGGGGGGGGGGAGCACTCACGCCCCTTGCAGAGGACGCTCTCCGATTGGGCCTCGCTGATGTCACTCAAGGGCACGAGTCTAGAAAAGGCGCACGCAACAGCAGAACCCCACACGCCAGCGGGCTCCGGCAAGCCCGGTGGTAGCTGTCGCCCCTCACCCTAGCCTGTCAGCGCACCCAAGGGGGCGGGGGGGGGGGGTCCCCTCTGATGGGGTCGCCCGGGACTCAGTCCTCAGCCCTCGCGGCTCGCAGCTCCCCACCAGGCGCCACCGCTCACCTGGCCTCCTCGCCTCTGCCCGGTCGGGGTCGAGAAATTGGCCTCACGCGACCGTTAAACTCCAAGGAGCGTGCGCGCGCCCGGCGTCTCGGTCGCGATTGGCTGCTCGGGGGAGGGCGGAGCCGGCGCAGACACACGCCTTCCCTCTGGCCCTGACGCGCAGGCGACGCCGGAGGCGTGAGGGTGGGGCTTGAGGTCAAGGCCTCTGCCGATTGGTTCCCTAGAAACTGCGGGAAAGACGCCTCGGTTTCTCGCATGCGTAGTGAGTGAGAATGAGCTTCTGCCAGGCTAGGGCAGCCGCTGGAGGAGTAGGACGCATGCGCAGACCTGGAAAAAAAAAAAACGCAAACGGCGATCCCCGGTCCCCGGTGGTTTAGATTCTTGCTGAATGTTTCCGGCTGGAGGCCGGTGCAAAAACAGGTAAGCGTCTGCAAGGCCAGGCTCCGACGAGGGCTGGTTACTACTGTCACAGGCTCTGGGATGAGAGCTTGAAGCTGGAATTCCTGAGCTACTTCCGACTTGCGTCACCTTACTTGTGGGCTTTCCTGGCCTGACTCCTGAGCTAAGTTGTCTGGATTCACTTTACCCTACATTTAGGGAGATGGGCTGTGTCTCTCCAAGCCCTTGGTGCGAGGAGTGGTGGAGAGTTCGCTACCCAGGAAAAGATAATTCCACGGAGGCCCAAGGAGAAACGTGTCGGTACACTTCTACTTAGTGGAGCTTGTCTTGCAGCACGTGCAGTACTAGGAATAGCACATAGTATTGCCCTAGGCAAGTGCTTGGGCACTGTCATTCAAGTGTGCAGGGTTGCTATTGTGAAGTCAGGATGCAAGAGATGTTTTTGCCCTTGAAATGGCAAACCTACAAAGAAACATCGCATCTCATTCTCTCCTCCTTAAAATCCTCACGACTCGTTTTTATTATTATTATTATTTTAGACATTCTCACTGTATAGCCCTAGCTGCCCTGGAACTCACAATGTAGACCAGGCAGGCCTTGAACTCACTGAAATCCGCTTGCTTCTGTCCTCCAGGTGCTGGGACTAAAGGCCTATGCTTTCAAGCCTGACCAGACATATATTTTTCAACAGTGAAACGTCAGTAGCGATCCCAAACTTACAGGTGTATGCCAGACCTAAAGCTTAAATAAATCAAAACCTCCATTGATCAAGTCTGGGGTTAAATACAATGACTTGAAAGAATGTCAGTAGAATTTGGGGATGGTTTGGTTTAGAAGGTAATAATTGGAATAGATCTTTGTATATTCTAATTCACAGAAATTTGTGATAAAGGCAATTTTGCATTTTTTATAAGAGTAAAAAAAAACTCCATTGATTCATCCACCCATCAATATAATGACCATACACCAAGCCAAAATCAAATTTTTAAGCGCACAGATGTTTTCAATGACCTCATACTTCAAAATGTTTAATCACTTATATCAGTTAGTCCAGATTTTATCTATTAGACTAATAATTAGAGACCCTAGAATCTTACATCAAGTAAGTGAGAATTATGAATTCCTCAAACAACTCCAGTCAGGAGAGCTGTGTTCCTCCTACAGATGAAATTAAATCCAAAGGCAGACACTACTAGCTACTAACTATACAGAAATCAGGGTTACAAAACCAGAAATGCTCTGTAAATTTGGGAGAGGTTTTTGTTGTATTGTTTTGTTTTCATAGTTTGATTTTGTTTTGGTTTGGTTTTTGAGAGAGGGTCTCTCTTTTATCCCCGACTGACCAGAAACTCAGTATGTAACTAAGGCTTGCCTTGATTGCTCCATCTTCCTGCCTTTACCTCACAAATGCTGGGATGACCAATCAGTGTGCAGAGAATTCCTTTTTAATTTGTTGAAGTGTTAAGTTAAATGTCCAGGAACTAGTATTTTGATTAAACTTGTACTTTGTTCAGTGACCCAGGTAAGGTTGCACATGTGTTTCTTACCTTAGGGAAAGCCTTTGGTAAAATCTCATTCATTTGTTCCTACTTTTGCTGGCCCTCCTTTTTCATGGTGTGACTTACTTCAGGGTGTTACTTTGTGTCATTGATGCTTTATAGCAAACAGTTTGTCTAGGGAGGGGGCAGCCTTCACAGCAAAAAAAAAAAGCAATAAAACCAAATCTAGCTTACCTTACTTAGTAAACATGGAAAATGATCAGGTTTATATTTGTGTTTTGTGTCATTTTGTGGTGCTGAAAATCCACAACTAAGTAGTTACTCTGCCATGAGGCTACATTGCCAACCGTATGTTTACACTTTTTGGGGCTTTTATGATTTTTTTTTTCTACTATATTCCATACTTCCTAAGGTTATGTTTCAGCCAAGACTTAGTTCAATCCAAGCAGCTTGGTCTGTCAATGAGAACCTGCTGAGAAGTCAGGCTGTAATTTTGCCATCATAATGATCTCCTTGGCACCTGATTTCATAGACCAGAATTATGATCTGAGCAAATAGCACTGCTTTGGTATTTTCATAGTTTCCAGATACTTTTTTTTCCCCCAGACAGGGTTTCTCTGTGTAGCCCTGGCTGTCCTGGAACTCACTCTGTAGACCAGGCTGGCCTGGAACTCAGAGATCCACCTGCTTCTGCCTGTGCCACCATCACCCAGCTCCAGGTACTTCTTAAATTGGACCAAACCAAACAAAATAATTTGCAGGTCACTCTTGTAGATGCTTTTTCACTTTTAGCTTTAAAACGCCCATGACATAGCTGTTTTACAGGCTGGCTTTATGCCGTCAGACCACAGCCTAAGTGGCTGCCAGTCAAAGGTTTCTCAGTCGTGCAGTTTAGGGGGTGACATGCTACCACCTAACATACCCTAAAAGCTTCATGTCTGTGGAAACATCATGGCTTTGTCCTTACCGTACACGGTAAGAGCTTCCTCTTACACAGGAGGAAACATGGCTGCAGCTGTAGAGTAAGTAAATCACAGCTCTAGGCATGAGTACTACATAGTTCATGGTAGCACAGGTCTGTAATCCCAGAACTTGGAATACTGAAGCAACAGGATCATGAGATTAAGGATAGCCTGGGCTACATACGAAAACTGTCTCAAAATAAAACGATGGCCTGGAGGGTGGCTTTGTGGTTGAAGCGCTTGCTGCTCAAGTGTGGGGACCAGAGTTTGGATCCCCAGTACTCACATAAAATGCCCACTGAGTTTGGTGACAAGCCTGTAATTCAAGCTTTGGAAGGCAGACGGGAATCCCCAGAGCAAGCTGCCTAGAGAAGGGTAGCCATATCAGAGAATTTGGTTCGACTGAGACTCTTGACTCAGTGACTAAGGTAAAAGAGCAATGGAGGAAGATTCCCAACATAAACCTGTGGAGGCGGAGTTTTCCTGTCCCGACCACCATTTCCAAAATAACCACAAAGAGGCTGAATATTAAATACAAATGACTGGCTGATAGCTCAGGCTTGTTACTACCAACTCTTTTTTTTTTTTTTTTTTTTTTTTGGTTTTTCGAGACAGGGTTTCTCTGTGTAGCTTTGCGCCTTTCCTGGAACTCACTTGGTAGTCCAGGCTGGCCTCGAACTCACAGAGATCCGCCTGGCTCTGCCTCCCGAGTGCTGGGATTAAAGGCGTGCGCCACCACCGCCCGGCTTGTGGTTTTTTTTTTTTTTTTTTTTTCCAACTCTTACATATAAATTAACCCATATTTCTTATCTATGCTTTGCCATGTGGCTCATGACTTGTTCCCTCATTTTCTACTTATCCTGCTTCCTTGGCGGTGGCTGGCATCTCTCCTGACTCCGCCCTTCTTCCCATCATTCTCAGTTTGGCTTTCCTGCCTAACTTCCTCCCCAGCTACCAGCCTGCCACCTTTTTATTAGCCAATGAGAGTAATACATATTCATAGTGTAGAAAAGAATTGTTCCACAGCAGCTTTGGACCTCTGCAAGCACATATTCACACACCCACACATGGAAATGGAAAAGGAAAAGAAAATGAAAGAAAGCTTATTCTAGCTAGGTGGTGGTGCGTGCCTTTGATCCCAGCACTTGGGAGGCAGAGACAAGCAGATCTCTCTGAGTTCAAGGCCAGCCTGGTCTACAGAGTGAGTTCCAGGACAGCCAATGCTGCACAGAGAAACCCTGTCTCGAAAAAAAAGAAAGAAAGAAAGAAAGCTTATTCTGTTCTGCAATAGTATAGCTTCTCTGTGATAAACTGACTCAAAGAGAAAGTTAAGAAAAATGAACACTTTTTTTTTTTAAGGAATAGAAAGAACAGATTGGAGATGTTATGAAACATAATGGGGAAAAGATAGATTTAGTTTCAAAAGTTGAAATCAAAGCACACACCTTTAATCCTAACCCTCAGACAGAGGCAGGCAGATCGCTGTGAATATGAGGCCAGTCCGGTCTACATAGTGAGTTCCAGGACAGCCAGGGCTACACAGAGAATCCGTGTCTTGAAAAACAAACAAAAAAAGTCAAGCATGGTGACTCATGCTTTAATCCCAGCACTCAGGAGACAGAGGGAGGTGGATCTCTGCACACTGGGGCCATCCTGGTCTACATATCCAGTTCCAGGCCAGCCAGGGCTTCATAATGAGACCCTGACTCAAAAAAAGTTGAAAACAGATGGCCTGTACTCCCACTCAGTAGGAATATCAGAAGTTCAAGATCATCTTAGGCTCGGTAGTAAGTCTTTGGCCGTCCTAAGCCATGTGATACCCTGTGTCTTTGGAAAACCTAATGAACGTCCACAGTGAGCATTCTTAAGAGAGCCTGCCTACACAGTGTGCCTTCTTTCTTTTCTTTATGCTATTGTTTTTGGTTTGGCTTTTTTTTTTTTTTTTTGGTTTTTCGAGACAGGGTTTCTCTGTGTAGCTTTGCGCCTTTCCTGGAACTCACTTGGTAGCCCAGGCTGGCCTCGAACTCACAGAGATCTGCCTGGCTCTGCCTCCCGAGTGCTGGATTAAAGGCGTGCGCCACCACCGCCCGGTGGCTTTTTTTTTTTTAAGGAGTTGGGTCGTGTAGCCCAGGCTAGCCTTAAATTTGCAGTCCTCCTGCCTCTACCTCCAAGATGGCGAAATTACAGATGTGTACTAGCAGAGCCAGCTCATTACTGCACTCTGAAGGGCTCTGTGAAGACATCTGAGTACTAAACAAATACTAAACACCATGAATGGTACAGAGGCTTTTAAAATCTTAGGATAAAAGGTTGTGTTGTTTGTTCTGCTTCCTTAACGTTCTCCTCCTGTGGCTGATGAAGTAGAAGGTTCCTGTGATGGGCTACAAACAGGACAGGCGTAATTCTCGGTGCATTCAAAGTTCCTACTATAAACAGATGAAGAGGATGCTGGGATTGTGAAAACTGGATCCTGGTCCCTTTATATATTTCTTTAGTTGTCTCTTGACCTAGGTCTCTTGACTTAGCCTGTTAAGTTCAGACCAGACCCAGAGCGGTCTAT